CAAAGAAATTATGAAGTCACCATAGCAACACCTTCTCTACACTTTTTTTAACTTATTATAGAAGGAAAGAAACAATCACATCTTCAATGGTACTCGAGTCGCCCACCTTGAGGTGTCGCCGCTAACCTTCGAGGGCATGAAGCAACACGATTTAGCGTTCGTCGGGCCTAGGCTAGTTGAGGTTTTCGGGTTTGGGGGTTTCTGTATGTTCCCTAAAACCGTGTCACCATCTTGTACATGAGCCACCCTCTTTCTTTTTCATATGAAAAGTCAATGCTTGTGCAGATTCCTCGAGAAAAAGTGAATCGGGTTTTTCGATTTACATAACACAGACTTCAGATGAAAGAGACGTAGGCGCAACATGAAAATCCAAGACACAACCCACAAGACACAAACCACAAACCAATTCCACCGGAGGAAAGTGGCGACTAGCACTCTCATTTGCTAATCCTAAAATTCATACTGGAGCACCGTTTGCTTAGTTTCATCATTTCATCTCATGTCACCGACAGACAAATGGACCCCGCATTTTTATGGTGAGGAACAAATCTTCTCGTCGCCCCATCCACTCGTTTGAAGCAGCGAGGCGAGCTTCCCGCATGCCGCTGAGATCTCTTTTTGGCAAAAATGCCGATCTTCCGCACTACTAATTCTCTTGGAATTTCGCCAATCCGAATCCGAACGGGGCATCAGTTCAAATCCTCCATTTTTCCACTGCATCCAAAGCCCCCCTACTCGGCCGCCACCCCCAACCGAGCAGCAGCAACACTGCCGACCTCGGCACCCGTGGCCATGGCGGCGAGCGACCCGCAACTTTGCCGGGAGCCCGGCCAGCGCCCCCGCCGCCCCGTGTGCGCCGTCTGCACGAAGCCCCTCCGCGTCTGCCTCTGCGGCCGCCTCCGCGGGCCCCCGCTGGACACCGCCGTCGGCGTCACTGTGCTGCAGCACCCCACGGAGGCCCAGCACCCGCTCAGCTCCGTCCGCGTCGCCCGCCTCGGCCTCCGCAACCTCGCCGTCGCCCAGGTCGCCGACGTCGCCCACCGCGCCAGCTTCCTCCTCACAACGAATATTGGACTTGGAGGCGGAGAAACTGAAAATGCTGAAGCCGGTGCCGCCATTGGAGAAGCTTGGACGGTGGAAACCATGGACAAGTGCTCCATCGCTTACACGGAGAAGCAGCTCATGATCGACATCGAGCGCGGCGTCGGCGCGAACGCCAAGATCAGGTGGCCGTCAAGATGTTCTCCTCTTGCCAAACTCGCCGTCTCCAACGGCTTCACCGTCACCAAGACACAGAACAACAAGCCCAGACGTAGCACAGGCGACCAAGCCTCGCCGTCGCCGGAGCTCCAACATGAGTTCTCCATCGCCATACCGCCGCACTCGGCCCTGCTGTTCCCATGCCAGCGCGCGACCGCCATCGACGCAGCTTCAGATCACCAGGTACTAGTCAAACATCTGATCGTGCTGGATGGCACCTGGGCGAAGGCGCACCGGATGTACCACGAGAACCCATGGCTGCAGCTCGTGCCGCACGTGAAGGTGGAAGCAGATGGTGTCAGCCTGTACGGCGAGGTGAGGCATGAGCCCAAGGCCGGGTGCCTGTCGACCATCGAGAGCATCGTCGTCGCCATGAAGGAGCTTGGGGAGGACGAGGCAGAGTTGGATCGTGTTCTGGCCGTCTTCGAGTCGATGATCGCCGACCAGCGACGCTGCAAGGATGAGAACTGCAAGCCATAATAATTTCTCTCGACTTCTTCTGGATGCAGTTTCAGTCCAGATGTTGTTTTCTGAATCAGCATTTCATATCATACTGAGCGGTTAAAACAGGCCAACTATGACATGGAGTACATGTTCTCATTGGTTTACCCATATACAGCAAAAAGCTTATCAGGCTATGGTTTAGCAGGTAGTCTTACACACACATATATACATATACAGTACTACTACATGGCAAGCTCTTTTCAGACTAAGTTATATATCGACCCGAATGATCGTCTCAAGGGGACATGAGTATCTTCCTGAACTCACGGCTGCTGTCCTGGACGCACTGCGAACCAGCCAGCGAGGTTATCCAGACGTCATCTGTTCTCACCGGCTCTTCATCGTCGTTCCTGTGCCAAGTCCAGTGCGCGTGCGTGGAGTTGACGATCTTTAGCTCGCCGTGCCCAAAGCTCGCTTCCCGGAACACCGACCAGAGGGGTTTCGGGTTATGGTACCTGAAGATACCAAGATAGGCATATCAATCTAGTGGCACTAAAGCGATTTGGATTCAGATGCACTAACAACGAGGAGGGCAAAGGTACCTGCGGGCCAAGCCTTCCCGGTTTCCACCATCGCCGATAGTTATATGAACAGCACCACATGGATTAATCCCGCCTTTGTAGACTCGCTCCTGCACAAACAGCGAATGGTCATCTGAAACCTTTACGTAACTGAGTTACATGGCCAGAGGCTCAAATTCGAACAGTGGTGTGCTACTGGTGATCTGCAAGGAGTCATACCGTGCGTTCATAAGCGTGCACGTGACCTGAGATTATAATATCCACATGAGCGGCATGTAGCAAAGGCTCCATCGCACTCATCATACTGTCACCTTCACCCTGATGAGCCCAGTTGCTGTTATACCATGGCACATGCAACAGAACAACGAGCCACGGGGTCCTCTTTCTATCTATGTTGGCAAGATCAGCCTGTAAAGCAGAAAAGGCGGTCTTCTGTCAGTAAAAATGATTTAACTTTTAAGCTAAGCACATCGCGTTTAAGATAAAATGGAAGAATACACCGACCAAAAATTAACTCATATCAGTTACAAAAAAATTAACATAAGTTCCGAGTGTAGGTGTAACTATGAACGGTCACTCTACCTTTCTAGCAGAGTACTAGTAAAGAAATACTTTAATTCTTTAGGAGAACATCTTAAATGATATTCAGAAACTAGCAGCAGCTGCAATGCAATATGACATGGAGTTAGGAAGTTACGAACCTTAAGCCAAGCATACTGATCCGAACTCTCATCATAATCTGTATAAGAGCCTAGCATTATAACATGCACCCCTGCAACCTCAAATGAGTAGTACAAATTTGATGTGGAACCACTCTCTTCATAAGGCATCTTCCATCGTGCATTATATGATTGAAATCCAGACTTCAAAAATGGTATCCTCTCCTTTTCATGGTTGCCTTGTGTCACCATCCAGGGCCGGGTGCTAGCAAGTGGCTCCACCAACTCACCAAAGGTATCCCACAAATGTTGCATATAATCAGCATAAGAGAGATCACCAGGAAGTAAAAGCATGTCATATTCACATTGCTTAATGTGGTTTAATGTTGATGTTGTCCAACTGGTCTGCCCAAGATCGCCTACAACAGCCAATGACAGCGGGAACTGGGAGGGGGGTGTCTTAAGTTGGAACTCTGAACCTCGTCCTCCGCATCGGTAGTAGTATATAGTGTTGTCTTCAAGAGGTCCAATAACAACATGGTGGATCTTTCCCGAGCTGTACATTAAGTAGCTGTAGGACGTGCTTTCTCCATTAGATGAGGATGTGTATGTGTTGGACGTAGTTCCATATTCCACAACTGAGGGGACAGAGTTATCATCTGTGACCCATGTAATTCTCATGTGCTTCTCTCCAGATAGCGAAATGTGCACCTGTAAAACATATTATAGCACAGAGTTCAGCAGTTGATGAACTTTATAGTAGCAAAAAAGTATAACACCAAAGCTATGAATGAGGACTTTGCAAGTACTGTGGGATAACACACAGGATCTGGTACATAAAACTGTAAACTTCTGGGATCAAGTGAATTCAGGAAACTGAACACTGCGGAACTAGACGGGTTCCGGGTATCGGCACCAAGGCAAGACATAAATCTGTCTGGGACAGGGGTAGATTAAATTAACTGGAAGGTAAATGAGCCTGTGTGCAAGTCCAAACATACATAAAATACTACTATGTGACACGATCAAATACAAAATCAAGATGCTGCCAATTCAACATAACCTGCACTATGCACGCTTCCATCATCTGTACTTGTCTATGGCAAATTGATCAGTTCAATCCAGGCTACATGGCATATATAATTAGAATAGCACAGACGCACAGTAGTCTAAAGTACTCAAATAGACACACACAAAACGTTGAACCTCACCATCAAAATACACTATCATCCAAGACTGGAATTAAGATATGTCCAGCAAATTGTCTAACGAGACATCTGAGGACAAGTAGCCTCTAATAAGACAACCACAGTTTAGTACTACTACTAGTTCAGAGCTGATCTATTGTATGGTGATTATAGTATACTATAGTTCAGAGCTAAATTAATTCACCGTACAATAGATCAGCTCGATCCTGTGATTTAACCCCAGAATACTCAATATATATACTTAACAACCAGGGAGTGTATCAAGAAACGGCCAGCCACAACACGGAATCGTCGATTCAGCTTAACAATCACAGGAAGAAATAACCTCGGGACGATCCAGCCGCTAACTCGCAGTCTAATCAAGAAAGAAAGAAAAAGTCCATTTCTTTTCTTCTTCCCAAAGCGTCGCCAATCCCCTTGGTATGGAGCGATCCAAGAGCAAAGAGCGCGAGAGGTCACGTCACCTGCTGGGGATCGGAGGCGGAAGCGGAGGCCTTCTTCTTGCTCCAGGGGAAGAGGCCGAGGAGGGCCTTCCGCTGGCCCCCGCGGGGCCGGGCCGGCGGCCGGACGTAATCCTCCCCGACCGGAGCCCCGGAGGCGGCGGCCGCGCCGCCGCAGGAGGACAGGGCGAGCGTGAGGAGGAGGAGCAGGAGGGGGAGGAGCGCGGGCGCGGCCATGGCGGGAGGCCTCCTCCGCGCTGCGCCCAGGGGTTCCATCGCACCGCCTGGCTTGCTCATGAGTGCGCTCTGGTTGTTGGAGGTGGAGGGCTTTGGTGCCCTGCTGCAAGCAACCTGGTTGTTCTGTTTTTCTTTTCCTATTTTGTGTGAGCGCGTTTGTCATGATTTCAAGGGTGGCTTTTAGAACATGTCAAAAAAAAAAAAGGTTGGCTTTTAGAAATATTTTAACTAGTTCAACCTCCTATTCCTGATAATATTGATTAGTTTTCGATTTTATAAGGTAACATTTGATGGTCAAAATATCATCTTCAAGACCGTGTTATGTCATAAAAAATCGATTATATAGTTAGTAAAATACGCAAATAAATCTATGCTCGTCGCCGACAGGGCTTTTGGGACCACCATTGAAACCGTGGTGACCTTGATTACACGACTCTTCTTGTTATACTCCCTCCGTACAAGTTTAATACAAAGTTGAGTCACTTATTTTAGGATGGATTGGAGTATTTATTTTAACAAACTTTTTATTTATATTTATTTTTGGAAAACGATAGGATAGCTAAGAATCTCATATCGTGTAGCCGTAGGTCTCCTCATAGAACCACTCACAAACATGTCATCCATTAACCGATGGTAGGGGCTCATGTTGCGTGTGTTCTTTGCATCATGCTCTTATCATCATTATTTTTTTTCGCGAATACGCAAAGCTTGCGTATCATTTCATTGATAGAAGGAGTGGAGTGAGTACACAGGGATACAACACATGACACGAACGCAGGCAGGTGTGTACATGGTGCCCGGAGCAGGGGGACAAGGGATGCTCAGCCCGTACAGAGGATACAACACAGTTAAACCTACCAGACCCGAGCCAAGGGCGGCAATGCCAAGCCAACGAGAACTCCAACATCATCCGAGCCATAACCGGGGACACCGCGAACGATCAAGATAGTGCCTTCAAGAAGGAATACGACACCGAGACACCATCACTATCCGGTCCGAGGGACCCGGACCTAGGGTTTCCCCTGAGCTCAAAGAGGGGTGCAGCTGAAGGCCTTGGCAGCGCCTCCAAGGAGGAAAACGACACCAGCAGGCACCGTCGCTACCAGCACCGGCAAGCCAAGCAGGGATCTCTCCCTGGCCTGAAGCTGAGCGATCCCATAGCCGCCGAGTCCAGAATCGAAGATTGGGAGGCCAACGTTGATCTGAACCACCATGTCAGGAAGGGGTTGGCGGGGCTGCACCTGCCATCGGAGGGTGGCAACGCCTCCAAACCCGCGAGCATAGGATCTGGCAAAAGGGGGAGACTTTGAGACGTACAAGGTAGGGCGGGCGACAAGGCGAACCAAGCGGGGATCTTGGAACGACGACATCCAGCAACGCCGGCAAGCAAGGACTGGAGGGACACAGATCTGAGCTGCCGTGGCCTTAACTGTCGGGGCATCGACGAGCAAGGTAAGCTGGAAGGAACGCAGCTACCTAGTCGCCTACAGGGCTTGAGAGACAACGATCCTCCTGGATTACGAAGCAGGTGCAGTATTGTGTAGAGAATCTGCTTATTTGCCATCAACAAACTTTGAAAGTGCAACTATCCCTAGGTGGTTTTGGTAATTCATAACAACATATAGCTCATTGAGCTAATTCTATTCCAAGACTATTATTTCAGGAAAGCTCAATGAATGGCATGGCATGGATGATGAAAGTGGATCCCTCAAAATACTAAGGACAAAGGATTGGCTCCAGCTCAAAAGCTCAAGACTCTTCATTTTATATTTTAGTGATCCAAGATCACATTGAGTCTATAGGAAAAGCCAATACTATCAAGGAGGGATGAGGTGTTGCTTAATGAGCCTCTTGCTTCATGTGCTTTGTGATATGCTCCAAAACCCTCAACTACTTTCCCACATCCACAAATGACCTAAACCCAAAGCCAAAATCGGTCACACCGATTCTTCCAATCCGGTGCCACCGATTCCAAAAGTCATAGCCACTGCCACAAACCCTAAGCAAATCGGTCTTACCAATAGGGATCTCGGTCTCACCGAGATGGGATTGTAATCTCTCTGTTTCCCTTCGTAACGTTTCGGTCTAACCGAAGTGAGCGATCGGTCCCACTGAGATTGCAATGTAAACTCTCTGTTTCCCTTTTGTAACATTTCGGTCTCACCGAAAAGAGCAAATCGGTCCCACCGAGTTTACCTGACCAACTCTCTGGAAAGCTTATTACCAACATCGGTCTCACCGAGTTTGTGTAATCGGTCTTACCGAGATTATGTTATGCCCTAACCCTAACCGAATCGGTCTCACCGAGATGCATGTCAGTCCCACCGAAAATCACTAACGGTCACTAGGTTTACTAAATCGGTCCGACCGAGTCTGTTGAATCGGTCCCACCGAGTTTGGTAAATTGTGTGTAACGGTTAGATTTTGTGTGGAGGCTATATATACCCCTCCACCTCCTCTTCATTCGTGGAGAGAGCCATCAGAACGAACCTACACTTCCAACTTACCATTTCTGAGAGAGAACCACCTACTCATGTGTTGAGGCCAAGATATTCCATTCCTACCATATGAATCTTGATCTCTAGCCTTCCCCAAGTTGCTTTCCACTCAAACCCTCTTTCCACCAGATCCAAATCCTATGAGAGAGAGTTGAGTGTTGGGGAGACTATCATTTGAAGCACAAGAGCAAGGAGTTCATCATCAACGCACCATTTGTTACTTTTTGGAGAGTGGTGTCTCCTAGATTGGCTAGGTGTCACTTGGGAGCCTCCGACAAGATTGTGGAGTTGAACCAAGGAGTTTGTAAAGGCAAGGAGATCGCCTACTTCGTGAAGATCTACCGCTAGGGAGGCAAGTCCTTCGTGGGCGACGGCCATGGTGGGATAGACAAGGTTTCTTCTTCATGGACCCTTCGTGGGTGGAGCCCTCCGTGGACTCGCACAGCCGTTACCCTTCGTGGGTTGAAGTCTCCATCAACGTGGATGTACAATAGCACCACCTATCGGAACCACGCCAAAAACATCTATGTCTCCAATTGCGTTTGAATCCTCCAAACCCTTCCCTTTACTTTCTTGCAAGTTGCATGCTTTAATTTCCGCTGCCTATATACTCTTTGCATGCTTGCTTGAATAGTGTGATGATTGCTTGACTTGTCCTAAAGTAGCTAAAATCTGCCAAACTCTAAAATTGGGAAAAGGTTAAGTTTTTATTGGTCAAGTAGTCTAATCACCCCCCCTCTATACATACTTCAAGGTCCTACAAGTGGTATCAGAGCTTTGGTCTCCATTTGCTGTGATTTCCATAGCTTTTGGTGGTCATAGCCTTGGTTTCACAACCTAGGAGAGTATGGCGTCTAGCGAGGGAAATTATCACCGTAGAGGTCCTTACTTTGATGGTACTAATTTTGCTAGTTGGAAGCATAAGACGAAAATGCATATTCTCGGACATAACCCCGCCGTTTGGGCAATTATTTGTATTGGCTTGCAAGGTGAATTCTTTGATGGGAGAGAACCGAACCGTGAAGCGAATGCGGAAGAATTGAAGATGCTGCAATACAATGCTCAAGCTTGTGATATCATCTTCAACGGATTGTGCCCCGAAGAATTCAACAAAATCAGCCGTCTTGAGAATGCAAAGGAAATTTGGGATACTTTGATTGATATGCATGAAGGTACCGAATCCGTCAAGGAATCCAAGTTGGATGTGCTCCAAAGTCAGCTTGACAAGTTCAAAATGAAGGATGGTGAAGGTGTCGCTGAAATGTACTCTAGGCTTGCACTTATCACAAATGAGATTGCCGGCTTAGGGAGTGAAGAGATGACCGACAAATTCATCATCAAGAAGATCCTAAGAGCATTGGATGGAAAGTATGATACCGTGTGCACGTTGATCCAAATGATGCCAAACTACAAAGATCTCAAGCCAACGGAAGTCATTGGAAGAATTGTTGCTCATGAGATGTCACTCAAGGATAAGGAGGAACTTAACAACAAGTCAAGTGGTGCTTACAAAGCCTCAAGTGAAACCCCCACATAATCAAGTGAGAAACAAACCTTCAATGAAGAATTGAGCTTAATGGTGAAGAACTTCAATAAATTCTACAAGAGTAGAACCAAAGAGAGAAGCTCCAAGTCAAGGTCTTATCATGACAAAAGATCTTCTAGTCGAGAGCGCAATTGCTACAATTGTGGGAGACCCGGACACTACTCCAATGAGTGTACGGCACCCTACAAAAGAAGAGAAGATTCTCCAAAAAGAAGAAGCAAAAGAGAAGAATCACCACCAAGAGAGAGGAGGAGTAGAGATGATAGTTATGAACGAAGACCCTCATGGAGAAGCAAGGATTCGGAAAGGGAGGACAAGTCATCAAGGAGCTACACAAAAAGAAGACATCAAGCTCATGTTGGTGAATGGGTATCCGTCTCCGACTCCGACAATCACTCTGACTCCGAACATACTCAAGATGAAGGTGTTGCCGGTCTAGCACTTGTGTCAACCAATTCCTACGACATATTTGATTCTCCAAATGAAGGTGTTGGAAGATGCTTCATGGCCAAAGGCCCAAAGGTAACACATCCTGAGTATGTTGATTTCAATAGTGATGAAGATGACTTGCTTGTGGATGATGATTTACTTGTTGACAACTCTAGTGATGAATACTATGATGAAACGTCAATTAATCATGCTAATCAAACGAATGACAATGATAAGGAGAAAATTGAGCTTCTAACTAAAGAACTAAACACTCTTAAGTTGGCTCATGAAACTATCTTCGAAGATCATCGAGAACTTTTAAGGGCTCATGAGAAGTTACGCTTTGAAAAGCTCAATCTTGAGCAAGAGCATGAGTTCTTAAAAGCAATCAATGATGATCTCCGCAAGAAAAGTTCTTCTTACATTGCCAAGCGTTTACTCTTATCTACTTACATGCCTCAAGTCAAGTCTAGTAACAAGTGCAAGAAAGATACTTCCTCTAGTAGTAATAATGATAATGTCAAATC